AACAACAACAATAATAATATACAACGACCTACAAATAGAAATAGAACGACTGTGGCAAAGGCAAGCAAGGATGGCAGCAATAGCAATAGGCGCCTTGGGTGCAATCCCAAAACAACTGGAGCACCTTTTGAACACCATTGGCTTTGATTCTATTCTATTCTATTCTATTCTATTCCTATTCTTCTATTCTATTCTATTTTCTATATTCCATATTTTCTATTCTATTCTTCTATTCTATTCTATTTTCTATGTTCCATATTTTCTATTCTATTCTATTCTATTCTATTCCATTCATATTCTTCTATTCTATTCTATTTTCTATATTCCATATTTTCTATTCTATTCTTCTATTCTATTCTATTTTCTATATTCCATATTTTCTATTCTATTCTATTCTATTCTATTCTATTCTATTCTATTCTATTCTATTCTATTCCATTCTATTCTATTCCATTCATATTCTTCTATTCTATTCTATTTTCTATATTCAATATTTTCTATTCTATTCTTCTATTCTATTTTCTATGTTCCATATTTTCTATTCTATTCTATTCTATTCTATTCTATTCTATTCTATTCTATTCCATTCCATTTATCTGGATATAGGTGCCTCTTGTTAACTTCATTTGCAGATAGTCCTCAGCTTAGTGGCCAGTCGCTTAGCAACCGTTCCAAGTTCCCAAGCATCCCTTCCGCCAAGGTGCTCACGACTTCTGTCCGGCTCTAGGGAAGGGCGGCAGGCAAACTTACTTTCCGATTCCACGTCGTGGCTTCCCACAGATCGCGTGTACTTCACCAGATCCGAGAGCGCCCGGGACAGTTTCATCGTTTTCTTCTGCCGATTTGTTCTGGGAGGACCCAAAAAAAAATCAAGGTTAGAAATGGCTGAAATGGATCCCCGATCAAAAGGGATCCGCCCATTCATGCAGGCTGGAGGGGATACACGGTGAGCAGGGAGGAACAAGTCGCCAAGGTGAAATTTGGCTCTTCCTGCTCAAGAAAACCAAAAGCCATGCCGGTGATTTGTATTAAAGTTCTCAACTTACAACAGTTGGAAGTTACGACGACACTGAAAAAGAACAGTATTTTTTCTCCTTCAACTTACTTGCTATAATGGACAGACGTTCTAGTTAAGTTTCCTTGGCATTCAAGGTCGTCCTCTCCATCTTCCAAACTTGGGGTCCTTTTAAGCTTGCTGGATTTTTTCTGGGGTTCAAAAAAAACCCCCAAAATAGACAGGGGGAAAAACACATTTCAGCTGACTTGTTATAACGAAGGATATAAAGCTCATTTCCGGGCAAAGAATCGCTCGCTCTGTCCTCATTTTTTTCTGGCTTGCAGTTTTGAAAAATTATCCTGGCGAACGGTTGTGATAAACCTGAAGCTAACAACTGACCAGCTTCAGGGTCAAGCTCCATCACCCATCTTCCCACGGCCAACCCCCCCCCCACAAAAAAACCAAAAACCCCAACCCAGAATAAAATGTTCCAGACCCTCTCTCCCCCACCCCCCAAAAAAAGATGAACAACCTTGCGTTTGGTCAAGCTTCCCATCAGGGATCGGTTGTGACGTTTGCTGAGGATCCCGTCCTCGCCGGGTTCCAGGATCTCCCCGTGCTTGTTCTACGGTGACAAAAAAAGAGACTTTTTAAAAAAACTCTGACACCCCTCCAACACTTCAACAGAATATGTCAGGAAATCCTCTGCAAAGCCTTTTACGTAGAAGAGTCGCTGATTAAGAGCCTGGGTGGGGAGAGGGAGGAAGAGAGGCAGAGGGAGAGAGAGGGAGAGAGGGAGGGAGGGAGGAGGGAGGAAGAGAGGGAGGAAGAGAGAGAGGGAGAGGGGGAGAAAGGGAGAGGAACAGAAAGGGAGGAAGAGAGAGGGAGAGAAGGAGGGAGGGAGGAAGAGAGGGAAAGAGGGAGGGAGGAAGAGAGAGAGGGAAAGGGAGAGGGAGAGAGAGAAAGGGAGGGAGAGGGAGAGAGGGAGGGAGGAAGAGAGAGGGAGAGGGAGAGAGAGAAAGGGAGGAAGAGAGGGAAAGATCAGAGAGAGGGGGGAGAGGGAGAGGGAGGGAGGAAGAGAGGGTGAGGGAGAAAGGGAGGGCGAGGGAGAGAGGGAGGGAGAGAGAAAGGAGGAAGAGAGGGAGAGAGAGAGAAAGGGAGGGAGAAGGAGAGAGGGAGGAAGAGAGGAAGAGAGAGAGAGAGACAAAAAAGCAGTACTGGTGGTTACACTCTTCAAGCCTTAAGAGTTTCTAAGGGTGTAAAAAATCCGGCACTTCTTGGAAAATTAACATAGAAGGATTTGGGAGGGCAGCGTCCTTATAAAACCTCAGACGTATGAAAAGTCCAGGGCAAGTGAGGTTGCCAAAGAGGGGCGCACACCACCTGTGCGTGTTCCTCGCCTTCCCAACCTCGCCCTGGTGGCCCCGGACGAGAGCAGGGGGCTCTTCCAAAATCTCACTCACCTGCTCTCCTCATTAACCGTGTGCACTCAGCGATGCAAAGCAAAAAAAAATCGTTAATAAACCATTTGTCAAGGAAAAAAAAAAAGGGGCTAATCAAAGCTCTAGCAAAGCAGGCCCGCGAAAAGGCCAGCCCGGCTCTTGGGCTTCGATTTCTAACGCCTGGCAATACCTGTATCATTTCTTTATAGATCAACCCTCCTGCTGGAACAGACACGATTAATAGGGCATGGGGGGGGGAATCAAAACCTCATTACAGGAAAGGCAGAAGGGAGCTTAAAGCTGCTGTAAAAAAGCTGGAAGGACAGGAAAGAGAAGCTAGCCTGGTTCCTAATGGTTAGAATTAGAATAACAGAGTTGGAAGGGGCCTTGTAGGTCATCTAGTCCAACCCCCCGTCCGAGCAGGAGACCCTACGCCGTTTCTGAGAGAGGGCAGTCCGGTCTCTTCTTGAAAAGCCTCCAGGGATGAAACTGCCACAACATCTATTCATTCTGGATTAATTAGTTCACAGATCTAGCAGGTTGGCCCAGTCCTATTCCTAGCCAGGCCTGCTCCGCAGGGTTGTGGTTGAAAAGGGAAGGAGGAAGATGCTGTGTGCATCGAGGCGGGATTATCGTCGGGCGCCGCGCAAGTAACCAGGAGCGGGAGCCGAGTTCAAGACACCGGTTTTGTTACATTAAATTCAGAGGCTTGGCAGCTGGCTCGTACTTAGGACGGTCGCAGCGTCCCCCTGGGGGTCAGGCGATTCCCCTTTTCACTCAATAAATGTCTTGCTTAGCCCCAGAAATGTCAGATTTAATTGTGGTCGTTAAGTCAAGGATGACCTGTCCATAAAAAACAGTCATAATAATAATACCAGTAACGAAGAATTCCATCCGGGTGCTCAAAGCAGGGGGTTGGACTAGAAGACCTCCAAGGTCCCCTCCGTCTTTATTATGATGAACGGCACACGTTAAAAATGAAATTTAGTTGCTTCCTCTGCAATTTTGGGTTGCTTGCGCCTCGTTCCTGGACCTCCTGCCCTCGCTCAGCCGGCCAGGGGCTGCCATCTGTCTCCAGGAGAACCGGTTGGAAAGTGGTATTAATGGGTCGGCCGAGGAGGGACGCGGCTGCTCCTCCACGCATCGCTGGTCTTCCCGTGTCGGATGGCGTGCGCACAAGACGAAGGAGAAATCTAAGTGGCCGGTGAATATCTATCCTGATTACAGGGGAAACCCACAAAAACTCATCGCCGTCCATCGCTCCAGTCTCCTCGCAGAGGGGGAAAAAAAAACCCACAGCGGTGATCAGTCAGGATTAACTGCGATTACATAGCCGGCTTCAACGCTCCAAAGAGATTTATGAGGAAGGATGAAAAGGGGGGGGTGTTGTTGTTGTCAAGAAATATAGCTATCAAAAAAGGCGAATTGGGCAAGGATTCGTTTGAAGAAGGGACATCCACCCTCATCCACCCCCCAGGGTCCTGGTGGAAACTGCTTTCCACGTGTGGCATTTCTGAAAAAAATCAAGGGATTCCAGGCTTGGTTGCTCGTCCTGGTGAAAAGAGACATTTCCACTCGGGATGATTAGATGATTAAAGGAGAGGCTGAAGGGGATTTGGGACGCTAGAGAAAACCAGATTCGAACGTGGAACGTAAAACCGCAAGGTGGTGGAAGGGGCCTCGGAGGTCTTCTAGTCCAACCCCCTGTTCAAGGCAGGGGCGGCCTAGAGACTGGATTTATAAGTTGGATTGGATTGAATTGTTTGGGAAAATAAATACAGCTACAGTCTGGCTGGCTGGAGCAGAAGTCCTCAACCTTTGGGGCACCAGGGACCGGTTCCGTGGAGAGAGGTTTTTCCACGGACTGGAGGGTGTGTGGTTTTGTGTGCTGCCTGCATCCCACAGATGAGGCTTTGCTTGTTTGTGCAGACCAGTTGCTGACATGCCACGGCCCGGTACCGGTCCACGGACCGGGGGCTTGGAGACCCCTGGACTAGAGAATCCTACAGCAATTTCAGTATTTAAGCCAAACCTCTGGAGGGACACATTATTTATATATTTTACCAAGCCGTTATCCTATTGGGGTTCGGGGGTTTTTTTTTAGCGAAACTTTATCGTATTATTTATTCATATTTTAGCATGAAGCTTTTCAGATGGGCTACCCCTCTCCCCCCCCCCCAACAATCACCTTCTTAAGATCCTGCTTGTTCTCCAATTTCCCCGAGGTCGATAAGGTGGTGACGGCAAAATTGTTCTGGTCTTCGCAGTCCCGGATTTGAGATTCCTTGATCAGAGAATCCAACTTCTTCTTGGCAAAGTTTTCGACCCGCTTCCGGTTAGAAGAAGCCTGGAAGCCAAAAAAAAAGTGGACGTTACACGGGACAAAAATGCAGCCCTCCTTGGTCCCTTTTCCAGCCGGTATTTAACACCACTTACAAATATCCGTTTAGCGACCGTTCGACGTTACAGCGTAACTGAAAAAGGAGACTTGTGACCTTTTTTATTTATTTTATTTTTTATTTATTTATATTTGAATTTATATCCCGCCCTTCTCCCGTAGGACTCAGGGCGGCTGACAATCTATTTAAAATACATACAAAACAATACAAATTTAAAATTAATTAAAAAGAATATTAAATATTTGTCGAATTTAAAATATAATTAAAACCCCCCTAAAAATTACCCTAGGCCAGTCCTGCAAGCTGGA